GAACCATGAACACCTGATGAGGACATGACGTTTTGTGCCTCCCTGACTGTGCTGATTCTTATACCCGACATAGAAACAGTAGGACTGATATCCATGCATTTATTACAGGGCAGGTTGACTCCTGTGGAGCGTGTGGTTTTGAATCCAACGTGGCTGCTGTTAGCCTAACCTGGGCCTGTGTCCTTACACCTGGGCGCTGGTGCATGGACAGCTGCAAGGGCTGCTGGGAAGGAAGGGTGGATCTTGCCCCGCCAGCTCTCACAGCCTTCTAGGAAGACAGGGGCCAGAAGTGGCTCATAATAACTCCTTGTCCTGACATTTAGTCCATGCCAAGAAGACCTCTGATGGACACAGCATATGAGCAAGAACAAGACCCTGTCTCTACTAAAAATAGAAAAACTAGCTGGGCATCCTGGTGGGCACCTATAGTTCTAGCTACTCAGAAGGCTGAGGCAAGAGGATCTCTTGAGCCCAGGAGTTTGCGGTTGCTGTGAGCTATGATGCCTTAGCACTCTACCAAGGGCAACAGAGTGAATCTCTTTTTCAAAAAAAATAATTTTTTCACTTAAATTTCCAATTATTTGCTGTTTGTATATAAAAGTAAACTAATTTTTATATCAATCTTACATGCTGCAATCTCACTAGATTCCTTCCTTATTTCCATTAATTATTGCATAGATTCTTTAGGATTTTCTATATAAATTATCATGTCATCTGTGAATAGAGTTTTACTTCTTCCTTTCAGAAATTTATGCTCCTGTTTCTTTCACTTAACTTTATTGTGGTGAGTAGGATAACCAATACAATGTTGAATAAACCTGATGAAAACAAAATCCTCACTTTGTTCCCAGTTTTAAGGGGAAACATTCAGTCTTCTACTATAAAGTATGAGGTTAGCTGTGGATTTTTCATATGTGCCTTTTACAAGATTAAAGAAGTTCCCTTCTATTTCTTTTTTTTTCTTTTTTTCTTTGAGACAGAGCCTCAAGCTATCCCCCTGGGTAGAGTGCTGGGGCATCACAGCTCACAGTAACCTCCAACTCCTGGGCTCAAGCAAGTCTCCCACCTCAGCCTCCCAAGTAGCTGGGACCACAGGCGCCTGCCACAA